AAACAATAGCCAAACTCACCAATCAAATCCATGAAACCATAATCAGTAGCTGAATCATGCTGCTTGGCGTTGCAGTCCCCATCCATGGCATAATGTTGGTCACTATCTCCAGAGCCAGGATCTGGTATAGTGTTATAAGTTCCACAGTCAACAAGCTCCATGTTCTTGAACAATTCTGAATCCAAATTGGTAGCAGGAAATACATTATCCTCATTCTCTTGTGAGCCTGAAGCTGATTCTGAGGCAGTGCTTGAAGGAGTGCAGTCACTACTGTTGCTAATGGAAATAACTTTGTCAGAACCCGAACTGAAATCAGAAGACTCAAGGAGATTCCATATAAGATCCACATCGACTTCAACTGGAAAATCCATGCAGCTATCAGTAGTTGAACCATCAGCATTCCAACATGAATCAGAATAATTAGCACCATTGTCTCCTACAATGACAGAATTCTGACCGACTTGATCACCACCCAAGCTAGACGAAGAATCATCTCGGGGTTTAGGCTCTAAAACCAAAAAATCATCAGACTTTAGCTCAACAGCAACGCTTACACCAAGATTCGCAGTTGCGTTGTTCATCAGTTTATTCTTGGCCTGACCCAACAAACTTTCCATGATATCTACAGCATCCTGTAACTCCTCAACTGAAGTACTAGACTGCTCAATCTCCTCTAAAGAATCCCATAAAACCCCTCCAACGTTTCTCTTCTTGTTTTGCATTAGAGTATAAACATCATCCTCCAATGCCTTGATTTCTTCATAGAGGGAATTACTGGCAGACTTGATTCCTGCTTCGTATGCCACCGCTTCCGGGGCTGCCGTAAAATTGTTGAGGTACCTGTCGAAGACAGCATCAACGGAAGAGTGGCCAAAGGTGTAAACTTTTTCTTTGGACCCAGTTGAGGAGACCATAATGGCAATTTGAGCATCACAAATCCTGCACAAATCTGCTGCTTTGTTGAAAAGACCCTGACGTCTTTTAGTAAAAGTAACAGACCTTTGCTCTGCTGTTTCTCTCTTCGCCATTGGAATTTTTCTTGTTCTCCCCATGGTAAACTACTGCAGCTAGCCTTGATGGGTTCTTCTCTTACAGCGTAGTTCTTTTCTTGTAAGAACATGTCTTCCTATATATAGAAGGAAACTGGAGACCATGCGGAGTGGAGCCCTTATCCTTGCGAGTACGGGACTTCTTCCTTCCTTGAAGAAAGGGGACGGACCCGTATATGGGCCAGGCCTGGCCCAAACCAAATCCATACACTTCACCGAATAACTGGTCAACCCTAGTTCTTATTGTACATGCAATCGACTAATTCGGTTCGATTTTCTTTATTAAAACTCTTGGGCTGCACATGTCCAGCCCATACACGTGAGTATGGTTGCACGCATGCCCGGGAAAGCTTTCTTTCTTTTTTTCATTATTCATTATTTTCTTAATATTGTTTTTTCAAAATAATCGGTAGTTATTTTTTTATTTTAAATGAATATTAAAAAAATAATGCTATTTTTCAATATTGATTGCTCAAGCATAGGACCGGTTGCGTATTTTTTTATTTATCAAGGTAAAAAATATTTATAAATGTATTGAAATTAAATAAAAAAAATATATATATGATTAATACTAAAACATACATATTAAATAAAATAATTTACAATTAGTATTGAGTGGTTATTATTTTCTCACCTGATTTTTCAGAATTATTCAATTTCGTAAATAATTCTTACAAGATTATTTGCAGCAATGCTCCAGACACACTAGCAACAACTAAAAAATTTGAATCATAAAAATGAGAAAATAATAATATTTTATTAAAAAAATAGAAAAAACTATTCAACTAAAACTCCATGTGATTTAAAAAATGAATCATTAGAATTTTAACATATAATTGACAAGACAATTAATGATTAATGATTTTCTTGGCATTAAATTTTTAGGTTAATGTTCCACGTATCCTTATATCTTTAACTAAACTAAGTCGGTTTTATTCTTGGACATAAGATAAGATTTTAAAATTAAAACCCCAAAAATAATCAAGTGATTTGCACGTACAAAAACATTACATTGAGTATTTTAAAATCTGTTTATTTTAAAAGATTTAGAATCTGTTTAATTTTGCATTTCAAAATCGTGTTTGAAAAAATATAATCTTTTTTATTTATTTTATATTAATTTTTATGTTATTAATTTTTTTGATATATTAATGTTAATAATAATTTTTAAAAAATAAAAAAAATATTATTTTAATGAATTTTAAAATAAAAAATACTTTGAAAAATAATCGTTACCACACTCTTAAGCAAAAGTAAGGCATGATTTTGAAATTCATATTTAAAATAAATTATCTACACAAAATTATTATAGTCGTGAATAATTAAATGATATAATTGGTTTGGATGGTAAATATATGTTAGTATTTTAAATTTGAAATTTAAGATATAATTTTTAATCATATATATATATATATATATATATATGTATGTATGTATACTTAAACAATAATACAATAAAAATTCATGCTTAAAATAAAATTGTTGAAATCAATCCCACTCAAGTTTACTTTTAAACTGTATAATAAATTAAGTTGAATAAATTCGATTAACATATCATGTTAATGTATATTATAGGGATCCAGTTCAAATAATGAGACATGATTAATGATGTAAAAAAAAATTATATATAAATAATATTATTTTAGTTCTTTTAATTTTTATTATCTAAAATGATATTATCTTATTAAAAAATTTAATAAATTCAGGTTAATTTATTTATTAACAAACTCAACCCATGTTCCGAGCTTGGATCCTCGAAACTGGGTGACTGTGCTTTTAAATAAAAAGTTCTTAACAAATTAATTTTTTTAGAGTATGCTAAGAATTCATTGTAGAATATACTAACAGCATATCTCATTCAGCTAGACAGTATCTTGCTAATGGTCAAATTCAATAATTGAATTTAGTGAAGAAACGTATTCACTTGGAAAATCCAAGAAATCAATTTCCCTTCTCATTCAACATTAATATGGGCCTTTAAAGGTTTCATTGAGAGTTATTTAATGTTCTAAATCAATCTTCACTTTCCTACTTGAATAATAGCATGCAAAATAACACCTATTTAATATTAGTAATCAATATTATTTATTTTTCAATTAAACAATTGATATTTTTCCTCTCTTTTTTTACCATAATTAAACAATAGTTAAACATTATAAATGCATCGAGATAATACTTGATGGGTATCTAAAAACATTCTGACTTTTACCTTAATAAAAACTATTCTATCCAATTTAACTCATTATAAAAAAAAAATGTTACTTTTAGGCTATGTTTTTGAGGTTGTATAGTGTTTTTAGAAAATTTTTATTTTTTAGTTTTAAATTATTTGTCTATATGTTTTTGAGTTTTTTAATATGTTGGTATTAAAAATATATTAAAAAAATATCATTTTTTATTTTAATATATTTACAAATAAAAGCTATTTTGAAAAACATTTACTACAATACTAAACAAACTCTTAATAAAACCAATTTAGATTAAAAATCATGTCATAAATGAGTTTTAGAATCTATTTGGTACTACAATAATGATTTCTTTTTAGATTATTTTTTATTTTAAATTTTTTTATTAACATAGAATATCAAAATAATTTTTAATTTTTATAAAAAATAATTTTAAAATATAAAAACGAACATGATTTGATTCTGACGTCCAAAGCTAATGTCAAGGATATCTAAGTGGTGGCCAAGTGGTAAGGATTTGGGATCAAGGGGTTTGCTCCCTCTGTGGTCTCAAGTTCGAGTCCTTGGTTGCTCATATGATGGCCACTGGAGGCTTATATGGTCGTTAACTTCAGGGCCTGTGGGATTAATCATGGTGCACGCAAGCTGGCCCGGACACCCACATTAATCTAAAAAAAAAAGATGCCCGGTGCCTAAAAAACAATACTAAAGAAAATATAAAAATAGAATGAAGATTCTTATACTACCTGTTTATCTTTTCTTTTTTAATTAAAAAATATTTTCACACTCTTT